ATTTATTGAGGATGTGCCCTTCTGAACCTAAGAAGTGAACAAGGCAGCTTCATCCTCTAACTGGGTTCCACAAATAAGGAACAAGTAATCAGGAGAATGTGGTTTAATGCATCTGATTTCCCCATCATCATTCATCTTGCCCACAAAGTAGACACTGCAGAAGATTCCCAGCAGCTAATGTCAGTCCTTTTCTTTTCTACTGTTTGTTTATTTTAAATGCTGGCATCTACAGCACCTAATTTGTGTTGAAGGATTCTAAAATGATTTCTGTTGGACCCCTTGGTTTTTGCAAAGTTCAAGAAGTCCTGGGCTATGGAAGCCATGAGAAAATATTAGAAGTGAAGGAAGAGAGGCCACAGGCCAGGAGCATGACAAGCATTAAGAGCTAGTGTGAAACAGAGGAAGGGTTCGGGAAGAGAAAGAGGTCAGGGTAGATGTGGTCATACCTTTTGGGCTCAGAGAGCAATTGTATGGCTGTGATGGTCCTCTCCTTTCATGTGCCCTAACACTACACAATACCCATGAAGTATCTATGGCACTGTGGTAGAACACTGGAATGGCAGAGCCAGCTGTTTGCCTAAGTTCTAATCCTGGATCTTTCAAATGACCCTAGAGACAATGTCTGAGTCACTATTTATAAAACAAACCAGATGGTACTTAGCTGGCTGCATGTATTTGTGGTGGCACGCCATTTCAAACTGTGTCTGGCATGCCTTTAGCATCCTTTCATTGCTGTTATGATGACAATGGGTTCTCCATGTATTGATCTAGTATTTATTCTTATTGTGGAAATCCTGTTTATTCATTCGAATATATGTTTTAAACTAGAAGTGAATTGTCAGTACTTCATCACTGTTGGAAGTGAAGCAATACAGAACCCTTGAAAACAAAATTGAAAGTAAAATCCCAAAGAGAAATTGGCTTTGAAAGCCCTAAAAAGTCTAACTAGGGGGTCCATTAGATTTTGTTCCTGTGTTCCCAAAATGGGGCATAAAGAACCTTAAAACCCCCAATTAGCAAATACTTGTGTAAAAACTTTTTTACACTGCTACAAAAATGTGTATTTCCACATTCAATGTGTTTAAAATTATCTTGTATTCTATCATGGCCTGAGAAATCATTTGAGTTTTACATTAGAATTCTATGTATTTATGCCGAGCTTTATCTTTTCTGTTTGTTTTGAGACAAGGACTCCCTGCAGTCCCAGCTGACCTGGAACTCACTATGTAGAATAGGATGGCCTCCATCTCATAGAGATCTGTTTGCCTCTACCTCCCCAGTGCTGGGATTAAAGGTGTGCAACACCATGGCCGGCATTTTCAAGCTTTATCTTAATTTCTCATTTTCAACCTACTTAGCAATTGAAGACTTCATAGGAGGAAATACTACTGTATAGCAAAGTCAGCATATTTTATAACAGATGACCCTGTGGGATTGTTTGTGCTTAATTGTGGAGTATTTTCTCTTATTGGATTTCTAACCAGTCACTAAAATTTATGTCCATTGTACAAATAATAAGATGGTGACTGGTAACAGGTCATTCTCATTCCCTTCTGTGGTCATTATCTGGACTTTAGCCATTAGGATGCACTAAAAATTCCTTTTGAACATTGAATTATAGCCTTGTGAATGAGATCTACTAGACCAGATGGCTATTGCACTGGTGCTCTGGACTACACATGAGAGTATTTACTACCAACCCAGCATCCATGATTCAGTTCATGTTGATGGGGATCAGTGCCAGTCCTTATGGGCTGTGATTTATCTGTCCAGCTAGCTACCTTGACTACATTGCATCATACACTCTCCCTGATTGTCACAGATTGTGTTTTAGTCAGGGTTAGGCACCAAATTTGGGAAAGTGCTGATCACTTTCTAAGTTCTCGATAAAACCTGGTAGATGGGAAGAATTACCAAGATAAAAATTGCATGCTTTAGAACAGAATGTGAACATCAAAATAACCCACCAAAATGGAGTAGGCAGCATGTAAACTCAAGAGCCTTAGAGAAGGAGGCCATTTAAAGCTTTCTAATAACCCTTAATCCCCTGGGCTATTTTTCAGTTTATACTTAAGACACCTCCCTATAAGACCAGAGTGTTCTAAGCAATCATTCCTTGAAAAATTGATAGAGGTGAGAGATAGTTAAAATCTTACTCAAACTTTGAAAATCACATTTTAGTTTTAAAACGATCTTATTCATGATCATTGATCAATTAAAAGGAAAGTTCACAGAATGCTCAGCAAGTATGTGTGCTAGGGCAGAACGTCAGAGTAAAGGCAGGCATATATGGCCAAGGCTAAAGGCTAACTTTTGCTTTTCTTCAACAAATTAAAGCTGCTGAGAGTCGGACTGTACACTCTGGGGAGTACTGCCAAGGTCAGTAGGACCTGAACTATCTTCTCTCTTTTTTTGTGGTAATAACTTTCTTGAAAGTCTGACTTAGACATACTCTTAAAGTTACTCAACACTGGGGTTTGGAAAGTACTTTTATTTCCTTTACTACTTAGTGACAGGAATGAGTTCCAAACATAGTCAGCAAATGTTTGAGCTTTAAAATCTTTTATAAGTTTACCTCCTAATGCCAGTATTCTTTAATTTGTTCTATCATGATGGAGCCTCTGCTTTTCCCTTTGCATTACTCTTCTGAGAATGATTTCTGAAGAAGTAACTGTAGCCTCAAAGATTTCTAAAACCTTTTTTAAAGAATGCACACTGATGCCATTTTTATAGATCTATCTTAGCTGTGTAGAGTCCTCGTTTTGAAGTCTGATTGAGTATTCACACATATTTATATAAAACGTAGGAATTTCAGCTGAAGACTGAAGAGCCAACAGGGCTGATGGGGACCTAGGCCTCTCTCTACTAAACCCTACTTGCTTTATACCATTTAGGTCATAGAAGAAGTATATATTACATTGTTCTGTTTTGTTTAATTATGCTACTACCATAAATAAGACTCTTTTGTTTTGCCTCCCCACTGTTCATTGCAATAGTTGAGTCCTGAGCCATGCACACAACTGGTCACTGTGATCAAGAACATGCCTTGCCAGGGTGATAGCTAGGTCCCTGGGTAGATCTTTACTCTAGCCCCAGAAGCAAACTAGGGTCACATCAGAATTCAACCTGATAGCCAAGTCTGCATTATCCTTTTTTACTATGAAAAATTCCAAGTAATTCTCACTTGATGGCTTGTTTTGCATGTGACTAAATCATTCAAGTAATGCTCCATTTTCTTGATTTTTAAATCAAGAAAAAGAAAAATCAAGATTTTTAAATTATCATACAAACATCTTTTAATACAGATTCCTCTTTCTCCAAGAAACTATTGCCAAAAATCAAATTTTGATAAATCAAGAAAAAGAAAAATCAAAATTTTTAAATTATCATACAAACATCTTTTAATACAGATTTCTCTTTCTCCAAGAAACTATTGCCAAGAATCAAATTTTGAAGTTTACTAATTCAAGAAAGCTTAGTCCAGACTCTATAATAATTTGTATTAAAGAACAAAGCTAAATTGTTAAGTCAAGAAAAAAATAACATCACAGGTAGATAGACATGGTTACTTTTTTATTTGAAGGAAAAAAAAAGTATGTTTTAATAAATACTGTGGAAACATTGATCAAACAAACATACAAAGTGACTTCAACATTAAAAAATGCAACGAAAGTTCTGCTTTATAACAGTTATAACTTATTTTCTTTTTACAATATTTAAATACAGAAAGCACTTGTCAGCTATTTTGTAATACTGCCCAAAGCATAATGCTGCATCAGTCAAAGCATATCATGTTGGTGAAAGGTCTGCATTTCATGGGGGAATGACTGGAATGGTATTTTCTTGCAGAAATGAAACAAAGTGCTTGTAAGATAGAGAAATGAGTGCTGTAATTACCTTAATCTCCTCTCCTGCCACAGTTTAATGGAATGACAGCTTCAACACTTCAAAAATGAAGCATCATCACTGCAAAGAAAGCTTGTTTGCAACAAGCGCCAACAGTGAACAGGTCAGATCTGATTTCTCTGAAAGAATCCCTAAAAAGGAACTGCTCAAAAAGAAAAGCCTGTAAACTATTTTAAATGCTCTGATTACACTTCAGTAACAACAATGATCCAGTTTTGAACCTGGCCCTGGCTAAATCTGGTTGAGTGAGGTCTAGCAGTCACTTGAGAAATGCCCTAGGCTTGTCAGGACTGACAGGATACAGTTTTCTACTAAGGATTTTCTAAAGCTTGGGTGAATGGGTCTTTCTCAAGCCGATGTTCATTTGAAGAAAGTGGAATAGGCCAACAGCTCTAGAACTGCTGCCAATTTGGGGCATCACCTCAAAATAACAGTGCTTTTGCTTTGTGTATTTACTAACTTCCTTCGAGGCAACTTTACTCAACTGTGATTTCTGCTGCTATTCCTTCATACGTTACCTTCTTGGTGACAACAGTACCTATATTTTTCCTCTTTGAATCGTTCTATGACATCAAACCAAGACACTTTTATTTGACTTTGCATTTTTATCAACGATGGCAAACTGAAAAACAAAACCACACACCCTCTTCTAAACAGCCCACAAAAATATTACATTGAGCAATTTACCACTTGTTAATGACGATCACAAAGATGAACAAAACCATCAGACGGAGTAAAAAACAACACTTTCTATTTGATCTACACAATTTTTGTAGTGCTGGTCTACGTTTCTTGTAAGGCTACAAAAGCCTTGTTTTTGAACCATCTCGCTCAGCAGCGACCTTCAGGAAGGCAAGATTTCAAAGCCTCATGAAGCTTTCCTCTGGAATCCCACGGGTCCCGATACAATTTCCATTTTAATGATGAGCTAGGAGGAAATTAGATCACATCCTCTAGAAAACTAAATGCTAAGGTCACAGTGCCAGTTCCCCAATGAGGACTGTATATTAATATATACTTTTTGAAAAGGAGATTAAAACATTGAAAAATTAAATCAAAGCAGAGATCCCTACCCCTTTGTTGTTTTTTTTTTTTTTTCTCCCTTTTTTTTTTTTTTTTTTCTTTTTGGCATATTTTTCAAGTCACATTTCAAAACTCTTCAATGTATTCACTTGTCACCACTTGGTCTACACGTCAAACCTAAGGACAGGATTCCACAACTGGGTGTCCTTTCAAGGGCATCCTAAGCCTGCAGTCTATCTGACTTTGGCTGTGCACTTCATTTAGACTTCCACCTTTTCGTTTCCCTCTTGTTTTTTTACACTAGATTCCCTTGTCCTCATTAAAGACAGCAAAGTTTCACATCACTGTGCAGCTCTTCGCTTTGTCCTTCCGTAAGTCCGTAGCAACTGCTGAGAGTTCTGGTCTGCTAGGCATGTGTGAAATCCGCTTTGTGGCCCTCTGTGATTTGTTCCGCTTAACGTTTTTATTTGTCTTATTTACACATGCCAGGGTGGCGACGTGAAAAATGTCTCTGACGCTGTTTTCTGACTGTAAAGCTGAGCATTCAATGTAAGTAGCTGCTCCAATCTGCTTGGCCATATTTGCCCCCTGGGAACCAAAAGGAAGAATTTTAATCCACAGTGGGACTTTAGAGAACAGTTATAGTGTCTTCAAATGCCACATAACAATCTTGCATTGGAAAACATCTCAACTTTTTCTTTGTAAAGCCTTGTTACAAAAAATCTTCCCCACTGAATATACCAAATGGATTTCCCAAGTGTTGTAGAAACAATGGATTTTTTTTTAATTAGCTACTTTGTCACTTTCCAAATAGTCAACACCCAATCACAGTCCTAACGCACTCAGTTATCATTGCTCAATAGAAACTGCTCTAGCTCCCCACAGCTACTAAAGGCTGATCTATCTATAAATGAAGACCCTGATCAACAATTTTTTTTTTTTTTTTTTTTGGTCTTTTTGAGACAGGGTCTCCCTGTAGCTTCAGCTGTCCTGGAACTATGTGGAACAGGCTGGCCTCAAACTCACAGAGATCTGCCTGCCTCTGCCTCCCAAGTGCTGGGATTAAAGGCCTGTACAACCATGCCTGGCTAAACTCTTAATAGAAGGAAACTCAAGAACAGGAGAGGCTCTGAGGTGACAGTTAATCCTTCCTATTAAGGCGAAGTAACTTGCTATATAAGTCTCATTCAGGGCCTCTGTAAAACCTAAAATCTTGCTACTGTAATTAACTGTAATAAGTCAGCTGGAGATATAAACACTTGAGATCTTCCACATAGATCTGGTAAGGGTGCTTTGATGCCTAGAGTCTGTTCCAGCCCCTCACAAGGTACTCACTTTTTCTTTTCTATAAATAACCATCAATACCAGTCAACAGGTTGCATAAAACACTGGGTCAAAGAATGAAATTTAACAGCAATTTTAAGCAAAATCAATTTTTATGATTATGTCAACAGTTTGTTAATTACAAATGTAAGGTAATTATCATATTTTTCTTTAACTTTTGTAGTGCTGGGGATGGAAGCCAGCTCATGGGGACATAGCTCTACTACTGAGCTCTGCTCCCAGCCCTATGATCGGTACGTTAAATGATGCATGCTAAACAGTTCTAGGCATTTCAACATGAACTCTCTTTAGACTCTGGTTGAGAGTTTTAAGAAAGTGGACTTCTGAAATGGCTTCCTTTCTTGATGGGAAACCCCTGCAACAGTGATGGCCCTCTGAAGAGAGTGTTATGGAGTGTTCTATTTACCAGTCAGATTTAAAATAAGCTCTCTTAAAGAGGACTACTGATTTTGACCACCATTCTTTCTTTAACACACTTAGTCTTAAACCTACTGGGATTGTAGAAATATACAAGTGTAGTATATGATAAACCACTTGTATACCCTAATGTCCTATGGTTTTACTATTGAACAACAGGACAATTCATATTTCAGCCTCTTAAATACACCCTGTTTTTATTTATTACAAGTAATATTCCATTTCTTTTACTTTTGTTGAAAGTTATGCTTCCACACTGAAAACATGCATGCCCGATCATATGACACAGGTGTCTGCCTGTGATTTGAGAGCTCTACTAATGTACTAACATCTGTCCGCAGATCAGACTTGCAGCCAACCAACAGCATTTTGGTGTTGGGACAAAACTCCTGGATTTCACCTTTCCACTGGGAGAAAAAGAAAGAAGAAACTTAAGTAAGCACTGGTAGCCATACAATGAAATCAATGGCAGACACTGGAAATGGGACTTCAAAAGTGAAGAAGCGAACTCGCACTTATTTCCTAAGTAGATGCCAAGCTTACTACTTTCCGAAGCAGATCCACCAGAGAACACCCATGCATATTGTTATGTACTCTATGGGACTCATCTATTCCCTCCCACAATGAACTCATTGTATATCAACAGAAGGTAGCTTCAACAATGTTTTAATTATGGGGTTAGCTCAAAGACAAAAAAATAGTCATACATCTGAACGGATGACTACATCCTCAGATATGCTGAGGTAGAAGGCTGGGTAAAAGGAAAGACTACACAAGCTCAGGTATGCATTCAGACTCTCAAGAAAGGCTGAGGCATGCTGCTGTGCATTGGAGGCTCTGTCTAGTATTAGTAAAGCAGAATGTACTACGTTCAAGGAGCTTCCATTCAAGTGTCTGAATCTACACGGACCATGACTTAAGCAGAAAGCTACCCCTTTGGCTCCCCAGAGGTATCTGGCCTTGTAGCTCATAGGCCCTTGAATTAGTTTTTAAGTTGCATAATTCTTATTTTTATCTAGTGTACAATTTAATGCCCTAACCAGAATCATGAGAACCTCCAGAAGTCCCTGCCAGGGATTCTAGCTCATCTCCTTTTAAAGCAAGCAGATGACTTTTTTTGTGGTTTTGCTTCCTCTAACTTGAGTTGAGTTCTCCATCATTTGGATGAAGACAAGTGTGCTAGGAAGAGCACTGTTCCCAGAGATGAATGGTTAGAGGGACAGAGACTCTTCCACCCACATCCACAAATGTCTTGAGTGCTCTGTGAAGTACTGTAATGATGTCATAGACATGCCTTTCACAGAGGAGGAATTCACAGAGCAGGATGAGTGATAAGATCATTACATTTAATACTAGATAAGAGGCACACCCTGCAGGGGTAATGTAAGAGACCACCAGGGTAGACCTCTAGCTCTCAAGGTATACCGAGGCAATGAAATCTACTGCAAAGCACACCAGCACTTGGAGGGTAGCAACACACACCAGAGGCTGAGCTGTCCATCTCAGGCCTTCTTTTTTTTTCTCCTAACAGCATTGGAGTTACAACCAAAGAATCAAAAAACAATAGGAAATCTTTCCCATCACAAGTCACCTTAACCTCTTTGAGATTCAAGAATTGCAACTCAGTTAATCAAGATGAAACACAGATAAGGGCTTATCATGAACCTGAAGTCTCACACAAATGTGGAACATACTCATTAATACTTACAGGTCCAAAGTCATTATTTGTTTAGTCTTAGAAAACAAAAGCAAAATAAAACAGGAGAAAAGCTTTCATCATAAATTATGCATAACCTGATACTACATCAAGTAAAAACTACAGTAAACAAGCACCTCTTTTATCTCCAGGCAGAGTGAGGCATGTTATGTTGTTCTCAAGCCCTGTGATGATTCTGGCCTCCCTCTGCATGCCTAACAAATGTTTACAGGCTTTGGCAAAGAAAAGGTATATTCCCACCAGATTTTGACAAAAGTCAGCCTTGTGTTTCATATACACTACGAAAGGATCTTTTGATCTACTAAAAGAGTCATATTTTACTGAACTGTATTTGCAATGTTTAATAAAGACTGATGGAGGATTATACCTCAAAGCTTAATTTTATAGTGACCAAGTCAAGCAATAAGACACCATAAAGAAATAAAAATTAATAAAAACACAAAATTCAAGCACCACTAAAAGTAAAAACCCAAGGGACACAACCAAACCGAAACAAACCCAGACATTAGCACACCTATTTCTCCTGTACTGTTTTTTCTCTTCTCATTCTGATCAGCCCACAGTGACAGCCATGACTGACATTCTGTGTTCTCAGCCACATCTTCAGTGCACAGAGAAGAGGGGAAACTGCAGCTAGGGTCTCACTCTCAAATACCACAGGATCCCCACAAGACTGAGCAAAGGGCTAGTGACTAAGAGATGCTGCTCCATCTGCCAAGGTTCTCCTTCCATAACTAGGCTGCCTCAGGACATGCATCACCCCTCCCCTCACCGGCCCTCCTGAGACCCATCTGCAACAAATTCCTATAACTACCCTGGGGGTCTTCGGTTGCGGGGGGAAGAGCATCACCATCTGTACACATGTGTTGGCCTTTGTAGGCTCCTCCTTTTGACCTCCTTTGCTTCCTTCTCTCCACGGCTTCACTTAGTCCCCTTTCCATCTACAGAATCTGACTTAGCTTTGCTTCAAGAAACCAGATCTACGTGGTAATGGACATGCTTACCATTACTGATGTGATATATACTTGATTATAATGCTTATAATGCATGTCTAGAAATATACTCCTATGATACCTATCCCTTTTATAGTAGTTTATTTATGTTTCTATAAGGAACTGAAATAGTTTCCTTCTTAAAATAACTCGTATTATATTAAGGTCACTATCTGAATTCAGATCAATTATAAACAACTGATGCAATCTGTCCAAAAAAATGAAAGAAGAAAAGCAAGAAGCTTCAAGGAAGACAGTGCTCACATGGAGCTGTTTTTAGCCACATCATTTCCTCCCCAAAACAAACATGGAAGCTCACGAAAGGTATTTTGTTCCAGAGCTTCATGAAATAAAATTTCAAGATTACCTGTCAAAACTAGTGACATGTGTGTTGGAAGATTGTTTAGGTGTGGAAGTATTCTTTCCAGTGTTTCAATTAGAAGATACAAGGCAAGCTCTTGAAACCTCCCTCACCATCCACCTATCTCTAGCTCTACATTATCAAGCATTGAATGATGCCATCAAGCTTCAGGGCTTACCTTTTTTAGGACACTGTCCAGAGTCTCTGGTCTACTGATGTCAAAACAAATCAGCACAGCATCAGAATCTGGGTAAGAGAGGGGGCGGACGTTGTCATAGTAAGGAGAACCTAGGAAAAAAAGACACACAGATTTCAGATAAATATCTCTGTTGTTTGTTAAGCATTAACTCTACCCTTTTGAGATACATTCCTCCACTGTTACAGTGCAAACCCCTGCCCCATTCTCATTTGTAAAGAAATAAAACACATACAAAAGCCAGGTTGGTGGCTCATTCACTTCTAGATCACACAACTCTTATATATGGGAACTTGGTTCCTGGGGACAATCAAGAGTTTAAGGTGCACTCTGCAGGGTTTGACAGCTAGAGTCAGAAGGAACCTGAGCGAAGTGGGGCGCATGTAGGGCCAAGTGACCTTGGGTGCAAACCTACTATCACCACTAAATGGGGAGGAAGCTCATGGCCAGAGGCCTGAATGCCTCTGATTCTTCATTCATAAAGTGAAAATGGTGATGACCTATCTCTGTGGACTAAGTAAACCCAGGTAGCACCTGGAATTTAGTATGAGATCAATAAACATTAACTAGAGGTATTGTGGCTGTGATGTTGCTGCTGTTGAAGATTGAGTGGTAGTGCAGTGGAAAGGGAACTACTACATGACAAAGATCAAAAATCAAGATTAGTCCGATAGTTGAATGGGGATGATTAGGGTTTGGGAGGAAGAAGGCAAATGTAATGACGCAGGGGGAGCCCTGGCAAAGCATACCAGTGTCAGCCTACTTCCAGTTATAAGTGTGGATAAGCCATTGACCTTTGAGCTTGCTTATTTACACTTACTCCAAACCCTGTGTAGGTTTTCTTCCTGTTACAACCAAGAACGTCATAAATGCCATGTTGGATCATGTTACCTTTTTATACAGTTCCACCTCTAAACATGACAGTGAGACATATCCCAAAGACCCTGGCATGAGTTAAATTCAAGGAAGCCTAAAAGTTCAAGTCTCCAACCAATTAATCAAAGCACAGAACACCCTGGTCCTGAAGGACATTTTTTTTTTTTCCTTTAAGGATTCCAAAGGACAAGAACTCACACAAGGCCAGCAATTATGAAGTAGTGTGACTATAAAATTGAACAGGACTTGCCAGTTGTGACTTTTAAGAAACTGCTTTCAGCGTAGTGACATTTCACAGACAACATGAAAATCATTTACTAGGCGAACACACAGAGCTTTTTTTTTTTCAGTCTTAATTTAGTTTTGACATAATTTTGCATTTCTGGAAACAGAGTGCAACATGTATCCCCTAAGTCAAAACTTCAACAGTCAAAGTCAGCAGAAGAGAAAGAAGTTTTCAAAATTATCTTTTTTATCAAACTCTGCTAGAAGGGCATGACAGGGGGACTGCAAGGTTGGGGCCTGCCTGGGCTACAGAAGGAATTCAAGGACATTCTGAAAAACTGAGACCCTTTCTCAAAATAAAAAGTAAATTGAGGGCTGGGGGAGTACTTGCCTAACGTGTGCAAGGCCCTATGCACACTTTTATGATAACTGCAGTGCCATGCCATAAAAACCAAAACGTCTTTCACATTTCCTTCAAAATTAAACTCTCCGGGAGCCTGTTCTTGTGACCCATAAATCACTGTAGGAAGATCTTCTTACCAGGTGTACTCTGGGCCCATGGCACTCACTATGCAACCCTAGTCAACACTCTGGCTTTCTCACCAGCTGCTTTCGTGATGGAGAACAAGGAAGAAGTGAGTGTCTAAGAATCAGGAAGAAAAGTGTGACCAGCAAAGATATTCTAGGAAGTTCTCAGGCACCAGCTTCCTACTCACCTCTGGGCCTGACAACTGAAGGTACTTTCCCACAGCTTATAAGACTTAGTTTAATGTAAGTCACATCATTTTAAATCTTAAGGTATATGAAAATGAGGCTGTGTCTGAAAATAGCAAGCAGTGACTGCCTTTTCAGTCACTTGAAAAAAGCAAAGGTGAGGCGAAAAATTCACTAATGGTTCGGCCATGTAAACATTTTTGAGAGGCATCAGAAACGGCCTGGCTTAACCCTGCATGTGACTATATTGGTATTTTTGGCCTTAGTTCTGCCGTTCAGGCCACTCCATTGGACCCTTCCTTGTTTATACATCCAAAGTCTAACTTTGACACAGCTCCTGCTGTAAGTGATGGGACATCTCTTTCCAAACAGTCATCAAGAAAATTCCAGAAAGGCTGGAGAGTGAAAGAGGCTCTCCTGTGTCCTTCAAAGCTAGCTTGAAGGACCTAGACTTACACTGTCACAGAGGCCAGCAGTACCACGTGAAACAAAACCGGTGTCAGCAATCTCCTTTCACAATTGTCTGGATATTTTCCATCTCTAGAACTGAACTTGAGGACTGCAATCTGCAGGTGTCACAGTCCTTCAAAGCAGGATGTTCCCTATACTTGGCACACTGGCCTGCTCTACACGATAGTGGCGACCATCTTTTCCAAAGGTGGCTGAAGAAGGTCAAAGGAGCACAAGTAATTTAATTAAAATTGGGAGTTCCAGGAAAATCTAGAGGCAGGGGAACAACATTCCAGTTGCCACGTGGCTGCAGAGACTACCTCCCCCTTCACAGGCTACTTCCCCTCCTCTGCCCGTTTTAAGGCCACAAAGGGATCTGGCTTTGTGTTCAGCCCTCGGTCAGTCTGGAGAAGGCTTGCTAAAACAAAGAGACAGGGCTTTTGTGCTTGGTGGCTATATGCAAATCAGTGAGAAATTTAGTCTCTGGATTGATTTTAAAATGAAAGCAGTTTTTGTTGAGTTAAACTAAATTCTAGTGGAGGTTTGTTTCTGTTTTTGTTTGTATTGTGTTTTAACAGTTTGAATGAAAATACATATGTGGTGTAAAGCTTCATGAGAAATCAGCCACTGAGGGAGGGAGGTAAAGAGGTA